GGCATCATCAGAAGTCAGCCTGCAAGAGGCTGAGTATATCTGTAACCTTCTCTTTCTTGGAATGATACCATCTGATCATTCAGGAAAGCTCCTGACCATTACCCAGGGAAAAGCTGTGAATTCCGGAGCTGCGATGCCATCAAATATTTCACCGAAGGATGTCATGGAAAATGATGCTTTGGGGTAAAGTGCCAGTGGAGGAAGAAAGGTCAGACCTTAGAACTAACCTTATTTACTTGTTTAGACAGAGTTTTTGTAGCCCAGGCAACCCTTAATTCATTGTGTAGCTCAGGATGACCTTGAATTTACAATCCTCGCCTCTACTTCCCAAGTGATGGCGAGTACCAAGCCTGGTTTATCTGGTTCTGGGTATTGAATCCTGGGCAAGGCAAGCGGTTTTTTTTTTATACTACCAATTGAACTATATCCACACCCTTATTTTTTAAAAAAAAAAACAAATTATTAACCCGTTTTCAACGTAGAATGCACAGGGAAGCTATAGGTTCTAGAAGCCGCCGGTGGTGGCACTTGGCAGGCCTCAGACACGAAGAGCCTTGAGCTCCTTTTCCTCACCTCCTTCTACCAAGAGCAAGTTCCTTCATGCTTGGCTACCAGAACACCCAACAGAATAGTAAGTATGAGGTGTACCCCAATACCATCAGCAGCAGCAAGCCTTGTTTCAAAAGCAGCACATGGTACCATCTGACAGAAACCACACACAGTACTCTGTACATCCCAGAGCCCCACTTCTGTGGTCTGCAGAGTTACAATACTCTGTCTCCTGGGCACACGTTTAGAACACACTCCAGAACATTCCACCTGTAACATCTCACCACTGTGCACGATGCAGTTATGTCTTGCGAGTTCTTTACAGCCCCTCATCTCAAACTCCAGCATTCTGCACACACATCCGGGTGTGATGTCCACATAGTTATTTATCCCAGACTGATCCCCAACTTGCTAAATTCAAGGATGACCTTGAACTTCTCCTGCCTGCACAACCTGAGTGTTGGAATTACAGACACTGCTGTCCTGGTTTACCAGTGCCGGGGATAGAATTGAGTGTTTCTGTACACACTTTCGCTGGTCACTCTACCAAGTAAGCCGGTGGTTAGATTAAAACGGAGCCCTGCCCAGTTAGAATCTTCAAATACTCTATTACATGTAAAACCACCACACCAGATCGAAGTCCTCCTCCAGTCGTGCGCAGGGCAGAACGGATGGAATTTGTTTGTTCGCCTTTTGCCCCTCTACATTCACCTCCCACTCTCAAGTTTTCAGGGCCGTCCTTGGTGCCTGCTCCACGCGCGCACTTTGCCCACAGGTCAGCCTCTGTAGGAAGGCAGCACTTTGGATTCTGGTGCCCACTGGCGATTTTCCACCCACGTTCCCTCCCATCGCCACCCCTGCACTTCAGCCAGCGTCCCTCGTGCTCCCTCCTGATGCCCCGGGATTCGCAATCTCTCGTGGGGTCCTGGCCACGCTAATGCGCAGCAGGGCGGCCGGCCTCGCTGTGGGTGGTCGGCGGCGCCCGCGGCCCCACGGCCAAAGCAGGATCTGGTTCCGCGCTCGGGTTTCGCCGGGCGCGCTGTCGGCCGGCGTCTTCACTTAAGCAATTAGCCAATGCAGATACCTGGGGCCCCGAGAGTGGGGGGCGTCCTCCCCGAAACGGGGGCATTCCGGGGGGCCAGCGCCAAGCGCGTAGGGATTTGATTTGAGAAGGGGAGGACGTCTTGTGGATATTCAGCCAAGTGCAAGTATCTTCCTACAAACTCTCGGACCCTGCCTCCCTGGGGACTTTGTTTTACGTCGTCCTTTCCCGTTGTCCCAATTCATTGCTGCCACAACACTAAGAAATGGGTGCTGCAGTTGGGGCAGCTTAAGGAGGAAACTTGGTACAGTACAAAATGGCCAAGTTAGGAGTATCCAAAGTTGGGAATTTAAGTCCTACACTGGGAATATGGGGAGGAGGCTCCCACAGTCTCTCAGGAAGCGTCGCAAGTCTGCTCCTGCAGTCAGACTCAATCCCAGTTACACAAAATGACCAAGGACTTGGCATGGCCTCCCCCCAGGTCTGTCCAAAAAGGAACCGCTTGTGCGGTTGACACTTTATTAAAAAAAAAAAAAAAGAACCACCGGTGTGGTTGACACACTTTGGTGGTAGCTTACTGGGACCCTGAGTACTCCAGCAAGGGGGGGGGGGGGCATTGACAGACCCTACCGCTGAACCTCCCATTTCCCTCTTCAAACGAGTGAGATTAAGGAAGAGCAAGGAGTGTCTGAGAACTAACTTTTCTTGGAACTCATAGGCAGGACCCTCATTGCTATAAATGTTGGTTAACTGTATAGGGGGTCCTTTACATTACAGGACCAGGCTCTCAGCCTGAAAGTAAGTATTGGCATGAGCCTCAGGATGCTAGGACCCCTTTCTTTCCTGCCACGGGGCTGGCGACTGCTATCAGCTCCCACCCTCACAGGCAGCTTGAGGGTCTAGGCCTGAGGTCTGAAGGGCACGTGGGACCCCGACTTCAGTTTCTTCCCTAAAAAAGGAAACTACCTCACCACAAAACCTAAGGTGCCCCCAAAGAGGGGCTCGTCTGGGGTAGTTAAGGAAGGGAAGGGACAGAGTTGGAGGTCACCTATAGAGTCTGTGCCTGTTTTTGGAGGCCCCCTCAGTCTGCCGACTGAGGCAAGGCTGCTACCATTTTCCTGGAGCACCCCCTGCCCCCCACTCCCAGTGAAAATGCAGCCTGTGCTGGCTTGGAAGTTGGCCACTTCCCTCAGCTCACCTCTAGCTAAAGGCCAGATATGTAGCACCCTTCTGGAAACTTCCCTCCCTGCCAAACAGTTCAGAGACCGCCTGACTGGTGTTACCAGTGGAGAGCAAAATAGGAAGAAAAGGAAAAGAGGGAAAAGAAAAGGGGGAGGGGAAAAAAGAAAAAAACTGGGAGTGTAAGAGAGAGTGGTTTGGGTTGGGGTGTGCCCTGGCGTATAGGGCCCATTCTTGTGATAGTGTGGTTATGTGTGGGCGAAGGCACAGTCCAGTAGCATGCAGGCTACACGCGGTAGTGTGTCCTCCCCAGGGTGGGGCCCCTGAACTGTACAGAAGTTCCCTGGGAAAGTTCAGGCCATTCGGTGGATGGTGCTGAGGGACGCTGGCTAGACCGTATGAGTGAAGCAGAAGCCTTTCTCACAGGGCATCTATGAGGGCGAACATATAACCAGATATAAGCGCTCACGTTCCCCTCCGCTCCTTTTCCCTGGTTTGGCCACAGAGTTCCCAAGCCCGTCCGGGAGAAAGTTCCGGGAAGGCGACTTTAGTCTCCTGCGAACCCGGCCCAACCAAAGGAGGCTCCGACAGAGCCGGCAACCTAAATCAGCAAGCCCCCAGCCCCTCGCACAGACGCGCCAGGCGCCTAGAAGGCGACAAGGCGCCTTCCACCAAAGTTGAAGGCGTGGGGGTGGGGAGAAGATGGGGAACTAGGAATCCAAAGATACTTGAGGCCGGCGGGCTTTAAAGGAGAACCGCACACACCTCTCCTTGCAGCTCGCGCCAGGACGCAGCCGCCTGGCTCCTCCGTGCCTCGCACTCACTCGCGAAAACGTCCTTCATCACCCTCCCTGCCAGCGGGACCCGCGTGCGCATCTGTGCTGCGGGAGGCCCGCACTCACCTGGTTTCGGGCGCGCAGAGTCCAGCCGGGTCTCGCGCGCGCCGTGCTGCATCCCGCACCAACTTCCCACGGCCGCGACCCCGCAGTCAGGGCCGCTCCCTGCCGTGCTCCCCGCCAGCGCCGCCCGCTTTCCGGAACCCGGCCTGGCGCGTAGTGTTGGAGGCCCCGCGGCGGCGGCAGGCCGAGCCCATAGGGGCATCAGGCCAACTCCCCCCGCGCCCGCAGGCTTCTCTACTCTTATTATTAAAGGATCCCCCGGAACGTGTTTACGTTGAGCCTTGTAAACTTCCTGCCCCGGACTTTTCCATCTCTCAGGAAATCAGAACCTGCGCTTGTAAAAGGGGACTCGGGGCCGCGGGGCCAACTGAGCGGATTTCAGAGTTGAGCGTGGGGGAGGGGGTCCGAGGAGACTTTGCTGTGTGCGTTCTGATCTGAGAGTGGCATGTGTGTGTGAATGAAGGCAATGGCAATAGCAGCTCCCGTGGGACCCTGGGGTACGTGAGCGAGGCGCGCACTGGGTGCAAGTTTGTACGTCTGAGTTGGTGATTTGAGGATTCGCTTGGGGCATCACTGCGTGTGCGCTCCGGGCGCGCGTTAACGCACGCGTGTGTGCGCTTTATGAATGAGTGAACCGGCCGTCCCGCTAGGGAACCTGTGCGGTTCGGGGCGCTGCAGGAACTAAAGCCACTCGCCGGGTCCTGCTTGCAGCGCCGGAGACAAAGCGCCCGCGAAGCGGCCTGCGGTTTCGTTTTCCGCCCGCGCTCGGCCGGGGCAGTGGCTGCAGCCCGGCTGGGCGAGTCCGAGGACCGCCGGGCGCCGGCGCAGCGCTTCCCGGGGCGGGGAGTGAGGGGAGGCGGTCCCTCTCGGGAACTTACGCCGTCCTGCCTCGAGGGCCGGGAACCCAGTCGCTTGCTCTGCCCGCGCTGGTCACGACCCAGGCCTCCGCCACCGCCGCAGCCCAGTGTGCAGGAAAGACCGGGGCCCCGGGCGCGTGTCCAGCCCAGTCGTCCGGGCCTAGAAGGCGGGGGCCGGGGCACCGGGTCCAGGTCGGCAGAGGCGGGGCGGGCTGCTGAGCCCGGGTAGGGCGGGGGCCGAGGGGGTGCGCGGGGAGGGACCTTGAGGACTCGCGCCCGCTGAGTAGCAGCGGGGGACGGACGCTGCAGGCTGCGGGGGCGCAAAGGCGTGCAACCGGGGGGGGGGGCGGTGCCGGGCCCCCTAACGCGCGTGGCCTCCCGCAGGGAGGAGGAGGAGAATCGCGCGCCTGGGGAGGGCGGGCGCGCGGGGGAGGCGCACTCGGGAGCCGCAGTGACGGCAGAGGTGCAGCCGCCCCGCGCAGCCCCCTCCCCTCCCTCCCCTCCTGCTCCTCCTCCTCCTCCCGGCTCGGCCGCGCAGAGCAGCGGCGGCAGCGGCGGCGGCAGCAGCCACCCGATGTCCGCGCCCGACAAGCAGCAGCCGCCGCACGGCGGGGGCACAGGAGGAGGCGGCGGTGCGGGCAGCCAGGCCATGGACCCCGCGGCGGCGGGCCCCACCAAGGCCAAGAAGACTAACGCCGGCGTGCGGCGGCCGGAGAAGCCGCCCTACTCGTACATCGCACTCATCGTCATGGCCATCCAGAGCTCGCCCAGCAAGCGCCTGACGCTCAGCGAGATCTATCAGTTCCTGCAGGCGCGCTTCCCCTTCTTCCGCGGCGCCTACCAGGGCTGGAAGAACTCCGTGCGCCACAACCTGTCGCTCAACGAGTGCTTCATCAAGCTGCCCAAGGGCCTCGGGCGGCCCGGCAAGGGCCACTACTGGACCATCGACCCGGCCAGCGAGTTCATGTTCGAGGAGGGTTCGTTCCGCCGGCGGCCGCGCGGCTTCCGAAGGAAATGCCAGGCGCTCAAGCCAGTATACAGTATGGTCAACGGGCTGGGCTTCAACCACCTCCCCGATACCTACGGCTTCCAGGGCTCCGGAGGCCTCTCATGCGCGCCCAACAGCCTGGCGTTGGAGGGCGGCCTGGGCATGATGAATGGCCACTTGGCGGGCAACGTGGACGGCATGGCTTTGCCCAGCCACTCGGTGCCACACCTGCCTTCAAACGGCGGCCACTCGTACATGGGCGGCTGCGGTGGTTCTGCAGCCGGAGAATACCCGCACCACGACAGCTCGGTGCCTGCTTCCCCGCTGCTGCCGGCCGGTGCTGGCGGGGTCATGGAGCCGCACGCCGTCTACTCCAGCTCCGCAGCAGCCTGGCCGCCCTCGGCCTCGGCAGCTCTCAACAGCGGGGCCTCCTACATCAAGCAACAGCCTCTGTCCCCTTGTAACCCAGCGGCCAACCCCCTGTCTGGCAGCCTCTCCACGCACTCCCTGGACCAGCCGTACCTGCACCAAAACAGTCACAACGGGCCAGCGGAACTGCAAGGTGAGTGCAGGGGTCCCAGACCCCTGACAGCCTGTTAACCAGTCCTGCTTGCAGAGGCGTTAGCTCCAACCCTGAGGGGAAGCAGCAACCCACCGGAGTGTCTTTGAGTACCATTCCTCTCTGAGGAATGTGTGCGGTTTGATGCCCTCCCGGTTTAGGCTGGTTCAGTTTCTGTTCTGGCTTCTCTTTGCTGGCTGCCCCATGCCAGATCAGGTAGGCCCCAGTCTTATCCAAAAGATTCAGAACTGAGCATTCTGAGTCCTTTGGGGCATGCGGGTTTCTTCATATCTAGCAAAGGCTCTGTATCTAATCAGGGGCCTAACTTGGCCAGTAGGCCCACCTTTCTGATAGTCCCCAAGCAAGGAGTCTGTTTTAGGCAAGAGCTGAGTTAGGCCCAAAGCAAGAGTTAGGCCCAAAGCCGCCTGGGCCCAACACAGAGAGGCTCAGCCCAGGCTCTTGAGGAAACCTGGCCTGCTGCTCCAGGGGCATTTTGTACTGACAGAAGCTAGCCCGTGTGGTGATGGGGCCTGGAGGGGGGTCTGAGTTATAGACCCCAAAGCTTTTTGTCTTTCGGGATCCAGGTTTCAAGGTCCTTCAGTGCCCACCCCAAACTCACCCCACTGAGAAAGAAAAGAGGCAACAGCTCACTTTACTCTTAGCCCTTCCTGGGTAGCTTTCTTCTTACGGTGCCTTGTTCTGGAAGGGGAAATGGACAGAGGGGTATTCAGAAATTAGCGGTCAGAACCCCCGGGGAAGCAGAACACTAGGCTAGACCTAGTGGGAGACCTCTGACCCCCCCCCCAACTTATGCCAAGTTAAAATCCTCTTTCCACCCATCCTGGGCACCCTGCCTGTCCTTCAGGGGGACCGTTCTGGGTTGAAGCTCTGAAGTTTGTTGACCCCACGTTGGGCCTCTGACTTCACCAGAGTGGAGGTTGACAGCTGCAGAAATCTCAGTCTCCCAGGTTCTGGGGCATGAGGAGCTATAGCTACTTTCTCTGCCTTCCTTTGCGCCTTCCTCTTCTGCTTAAAGAAGCCCTCTGGCAGGCCCTGTGTCCAGGCTGGAGAGGCCCCAGGCATTGGAGCTACCCAAGCAGGACTTCTAGCCAGTGTTCTGGTAGGGGATGCACTAGGAGGGGCCAATCCCCTTCCCCAGTTCCTTCCACACTCGAGTGGGGGGTGCGGTTGTGCCAGGCTGGAGGGGTGCCTGGTCATCAGGGCTTCTCGGCTCAGAAACTGATGTGTTGCTCCCCGCTCTTGCTGTGTCCTCACCCGACAGGCATCCCTCGGTATCACTCACAGTCACCCAGCATGTGTGACCGAAAGGAGTTTGTCTTCTCTTTCAACGCCATGGCGTCTTCCTCTATGCACTCGACTGGTGGAGGATCCTATTACCATCAGCAGGTCACCTACCAAGATATCAAACCGTGTGTGATGTGAAGTCGAGGCCGTGGGCCCTCCAGCCCAGTCTGGCCGGCCCAGGGACCAGGAGCCCACCCCCACAAACTGCTTTACTCTGGAGGTATAACCGTCAGCAAGAGAAAGGGACCTGTCCCCTTCCCTAACGGATTATTTGGAAAGAACCCCAACACAAACCTGGCACTGTGGTCGGAGATGCCACCCCCGCTGCTCCCTCACTAATTTCTAAAAAAAAGAAAACAAAAAAACAAAAAACCGTGGCCATGGGACGCCAGATTGGACTGCAACTGACAGTAAAATACATACTTGTTTTCAACCCCATTGAAAGCAGCCACGAAGGTGCTGTGTGTGGGGGGGAAGCAGCTAGCTACAAGGAAAGAATTCTGCCGAGGTCTCTCCACCCCTCCCACACCAAGGGACAGTTTTTAGAAGCACGAACACGTGAGACCAGTCATTATCAAATACTTTTATTTTTGATTGAGTATTTATCTTTTAATTTTTAACTTTTTGAAAGAATGTCTTGAAATGCACAGTTTCTCCCCCCCTTCAGCCATCTTTTTTTCCCCCTTCTGGGGAGGAGGAAAGGATCAGGCGGGCATCTCCCTCTCCCGACCTGGGGTCTCCTCCAGCAATCACAGGTGGATCTTCGTGAATATGACTCAGATACCTGGAGCCTCTGTTTGTCTTTTAAAAAAGAAAAGCGGCTGAGGAGCTGCCCCAGCCTCTGGCCCTTTCCGTTTTCTTCTTCCTCCAGCGTGTGTCTTTCACTTTGATTTGGAGTTGCATTGTGACTTCTTCAGTAGGTGTTTTTCTGTCTTCCAGTCTCTACTGTAACTCGGAAAGGAAACGAACACGGAAAGCTGCAGGGACACGGAGGCTCGATCAGGTGGTGTAGTTCAGGCTCCCTGACACCGGAGACAGGCTCAGCCTGTTATTTATTCTGCTTTCTTTTCCTAATCAAAACACCACGTAGCTCTGCCCTCCCGGTATTAATGGTGTGACTTGGTTGGCAATATTTGCCGTGTAGAGTTGTTGTTTTTTTTATTTGATACCCATTGTAAATTTGAAACAAAGACCAATCTGTGTAAAAACAAATCCCCATATGTTTTATATAAATATATATAAAATGAAGGACTGTCCCCCTTTTTAGTATTTCGGCCGCAGAGGTGCGCCGTCTACAACACATATTTTAAACCTCCTTCTGCACTGTATAAAAGGATAATCCGAGGGTATGCTTTTGTGTATTTTTTTCCTACAAAATGAACAAAAATAAAAATGTATAACATTTGTACATGGCCTCTAAAACTCTTGTCGCTAGAAAAACTCGAATGGCTACTTTGTTGGGGGTAATAGACATTGCCTATCCCTGGAGCTGCGGCTCTGGACGAAACAAAACTTTAAGTCTAGGTGAATCTCACCCCCCCACCCCCATCTTCCTCCTCTCTTTTTCACTCTTCATTTCAGTAAAATCTGGGTAGGGGTAACTTTTTTTTCCTGCCTCTAATTTTTGAAGGTGAGCTTTCTGTCCCCCTAAATGTCATTTCTTGGTTTTAAGAAATAGTCAAACATTTAAAGAAAAACTGTAGTATTTTCATCCCTGAGGGAAAGTCGGTGCGTGCAGAAGCACACGGTTTTTATATGTATTTCTGTATATTTTTTTCCTTCTACCCTGAACCCAGTGTTTCTCCGGGCATAAGCCTTGCTTGGCCTGTCTTGCATTCTGTTGTAGATAATGAAGTAACTTCAAAGTTTTGTTTGTTTATTTTGTCTGTTTTTCAATTGCCTGATGTCTTCCCCGGTGGACTCTGTAAAACCCAGCCAGGAAGGTTCCACCGTGGGTGCCCCGACTGCATCCATGTTCCTGCCACTAACATATTTCCCTTCTAAATCGTATTTTAACCCCCTCTTCTGGAGACAAGGAACAGCTAAACCCTGGGCTCCCCTGACCACCATCTCCATCACCAACCGCCCACCTAGGAAAACAAACACAATAAGCTGCATTGTTGGTACCGCGGTCCTGACCCACCGCAGAGTCTGTGCACCGTGGGGTCGCACCTCAGAACCTGCTTCTTCTCAGACTTGACATTCTGGACGGGAGGGTAATTTCTCCGGTGCTCTGTTACATCAAAATTATCAATAAACTCGTCCGGGCAATTAATGTCCCAAACTAACAGCTGTCTATAAAACCCAGATAAAGAGGACAGGAAAAGGCCGGAGCAGCGGCGTCTGTAGCATCAGGCGGGGGCTGCGGCCTCCCTGCTCTCTGGGCCCTGCGGCCTGGAGCAGGTTCGAAGCCAGGAGGGGAGGATCTGACCTTCTCTCGGGCGGTAAAGCAGGTCCAGGGAAAGCCCTCGGGGGCCCTAGAGCGGGGGCACCTTCCCAGCTCTGATTGCGCCCTTGAGGAAACTGAGGACAAGGGAAGCACGGAGGCGGCCCTCTGGTGCGGTGACTTCTGCGCCCAGGATCCCTGTGCCGGCGGCGGCGGTGAACCCCAGCTTCCGGCTCATCACCAGACTCCTGTGTGGGTTTCGTGGGATTTCCCAGCTCCCACATATCAGGCCAAGCTGGGAAGGCACCCAGAGTCGCTCCTGCAGAACTGGTCAGGGCCGGGGGAATTGGAGCCCTGCTTTTGCCTGATCTGCCGCCCGAGGGTGAGAGGGAAAGTCCGGCTTTCCCCAGAGGAGGGCGGCTCCAGGCAAGCTAAGCTGGACCGGATTCTGTCGGCAAGAACGCCTAGCCTCGGCCCGAGGTTTCCCGCCGCCGCTTTGATGGCGCCAGGCTTTTTCCTGGGCTCATTGGCTTAAGTTCGCACAGGGTGGGAAGGGCCCACCACCGCGTCCACGAAAAGCACTAGGGCACGTGCAAGTCACGGTCTTAAATTAGCACAGGGCCTCTGAGTGGCACGGAATACTGCGTGCGTGCGTGCTCACTTGCCTATCGTCAACGCAGTCTGAGCCCTGCTGTTCGTTATCTCCAAGCACCATAGCAGAGTGGTCCAGAGGCCCTGAGTGTGTGTAAGGCCTAAGGCTGAAGGCCCCGGCCCCGGAGAGGGACAAACAGAGGGGAGGCACAAAGCTCGGCCCTGTAGGTGAATCACAGGGTCCCCTCCATAACCTCCTCCTCTTGCAGACCTAGGTGCACGGCCTCCTAGGCCTTGACTCTAGGTCCCACAGACCTTAGTCAGGAGGAACTTCCCTGGGTCACTGACCCTGAACCCAGACCCAGGGTGACCTCAGCACTCAGAGGCTAGAGGACAACAGGGTGTGAGCCGTGATGTGCAGGTGCTGTCTATTGTCCTTTCTCTTTGGGAGTGAAGGGTCCAGGACAGGGAAGGGTTGGTGCTGCACCAAAACCTTACTCCGTGCCTGACCTACGCCATCAGTGACTGTATTCCTAGGAGGGAGTAGAAATACCGACCAACTGGAGTACTTGTCCTGGGGCCATCTGGAAGTGTGCAGACCAAGCCACCTCTCTTTTGCTTTCCTCCTCTCTGACAATGTCCCAGTAAGATGGGGCAGTGACGTGCTCAGGTGGAAAGGGACATAATGCCCTCGCACCCAGAAGGAAGAGTGGTGGCCTTCAGACCCCTGGTGTTTCTCACCATAAGGATGGTGTGTGTGTGTGTGTTTGTGTGTGTGTGTGTGTGTGTGTGTAGAACCCGCCCACACTTTCCAGGAGCCGCCTCTTGGGTGCTTATAGCTCCGCCATAGGTTTGGGCCTGAGACTCCCCCACACACTACCAGAATAGTCTGAAGGTCTCAGGTGGGGAGATGAAAGGGTCGCGTCACTTCTTCTGGTGGCTCTGAGCGACCCACCACATCGGGCTTTTCTGGAAGAGGGAGGACAGGGTTCCTGGTAAGGGCTGAAGTGTGTGCTCCTCCTCAGAGCCCTCAGCCCCAGCCAGCCGTGGTGAGATGGTTTGGTCTGGCCTCTGCTGCCCTCTCCTGCCTGCCCTGGCTCCAGTGGCAGTTTGGGAAAACTAGGTGTCCTGGGGAAACAGGCGACATTCAGGAGACTCTGACATCCTGACAGCCCTCTCCTCAGTCCATCCTCACAACACCCTTTAAGTGACTTTCACGCCCCTGCCCCTCTTCCCCCACTAGGTATGGAAGCCCAACTCAAGAGAGGCCACACAAGTGCTGGTGTAAACTAGGAGGATGTGGGGTTGGGGCTCAGAGCCTGGACTTTCTGCCCCCCAAAGCTGATGACCTGTTTTCTTGGATAACCCATCATCAGTGGAGAGGGGGATGTTGAAGGGGGGTTCCTGACCCAGGCTGGCCTTCATGCTATACACAAGGGCTACCAGACCCTGCCCAGCGTTTCCACTGAGCCCAGGAAGTCCACAGACTCTCAGTGTCCTGTCAGACTGGAGACTCTCACATCCCTCCTGGAGTTGCAGACCCGGCCTTTCCAGCTTTCACGATGGCTTCCTGCCTGCCCCCCTTTCTTCCTTCAACCTCTTGGTACAGTGGAAATAAACATCAAGCAAAAGTTGACACAAGACCAGAGACTGTGGGCGGCAGTCGGGTGCGGCTGCCTGATTCTGTTTCTCTGGGTAAGGAGAGGAAGGGCCTTTTTTCCTGCAAGCCCAGGTGGGGCCCTGCCAGTCACTGGATGGAGTTTGGGCTATTGTAAAGATGGACACATGGATCATGGACCTTTAATCGTGAGCTTCCCCCTCCCCCATGCCTGCATTTCTTCACTTCGTCTTCCTTCTCCCCTGCTCCGAGTATCCCACTCAGTGTTTCAGCTAGGATGCTATCTACCCTAGATCTCTACTTCCACCCTTATAACATTTTCTGATGAGCTTTGACGGCCCAGAGAAGAATACAGTCCGCGAGAAACAGCAGGCTGGGTAAAGAGTGAGCCCAGCTGTTCAACCACCCAGAGTGCCCTCCCGGGCCACACTGAGCTGCCATGAAAACTTGCCCTTAGACTTGTTCCCAGTAGACAGATCAGCACAGCACAGCCGTTAATAGTCCACAGTCACCCGGCTGACCGTATGGAAGAAGGCCACTTTGCAAAGAGCATGATGGGAAGATGAGGTTACCAAGGTGGGACTGCAGCGCTTTCTACTATAAGGAAGGCTCATTTGACTCCCCTGAAGGGATGTCACTGGGCCTGGCCCACCCAAGGGATAATTGGGTGGGGTAGTCTGAACAGAGCTGAAAGCTAGCCCCACTGAGCCCAACCACAGTGCCTGACCAATCCTTTCGGTGGGCCCTCCCTGACCCAGCCCATATTACTTCGGCACAGTTCTAGTGTTCAGTGCCCTCATGGTGACACAGCAGTGGTCTGGGGAAGCTAAGCCTCTCTGAGCATCTTATTAAAACTAGTGACATCACGTCAGGGAGGTAGGGACCCCATGTTCCCCGACTCTCCCGGTCATGGCCACGTGGAAGAATGCCAGGTTCTTAGCTGTCCCTGAAAAAAAGGACCAGCTATCTGTCTTTGGGAATTTGTCCCGAAAGCAAGTTCTAGATAGGCACACGATGTCTCTGGGTTTCTGTGTGACAGGGGCCTGGCAGGAATGAGCTCTCACCAGACCCTCAGCATCAGCCCCCGTCGTCAGGCTGGGTCAGAGAGCTACGCCTGTGTGAAGAAGGAAGAGGACCATAGGGGTAAACCCCAGAGGGCAGGGCAGCAAGGGGGGCGGGGGAAGCAGGCTGTACTTCACCTTGACGCCGGTACAGGGAGACAGCTCAGGGTTAGGGACCCTTTGAAAAGAAGAGGGAATCCCGGAAGGCACCAGAAGCACCAGCCCTGGGATTTTGTCCCTGCTTATTTCTCACGAGGAGATGGCGCCACCTGCTGTTCATTTCTCACAGTTCATGTTAGAACTACAGAAAAACAGATTTCACCAGGCAACAAGCATCCAGGTCCGGATGAGTGGACCCTAGTCCAGACCCTTAGACCTCAGTTTAGGGGAGATGGGTTGTTCTCGTTGAGAGCTGAACTAATTATCCTTTCCTAGTTACACAAACAATAGGGCTTTAGGAAATGGACTTCAGAAAAGCGGAAGGTAAAGTCACTTCTAGCCCCATCTCAGGCAGCTTTGGGGTCTCTGAACGCATCCCCTGCACACCAAGACCGTGTGGCCCCCAGAAAGCAGATAATGGATGTGCTGGTTCGGAGCTCCCAGCCCCCAGGATGTGGTTCCAGTCCTGCCTCTGCCTCGTCCTAACTTTGCTTGCTTCCCTCCTGTGATGTGTGGGGAAATCCGCTGCAAGTCTCAAGAGTTAACTCTGGCCGGGCGGTGGTGGCACACGCCTTTAATCCCAGCACTCGGGAGGTAGAGGCAGGTGGATCTTTGTGAGTTCGAGGCCAGCCTGGCATACGAGAGCTAGTTCCAGGACAGGCTCCAAAGCTACAGAGAAACCCTGTCTCAAAAAACAAAAAAAGTTAACTCTGAAGAACCCAGGCACAGAGAGCCCTGCCTGAGGTAACACAGCTAGAACAACACACTGCACACAGAATCCCCCCCCCAAGAATTCTGACTCCGAATTCTTCAGCCACTCAATGTTCTCTGTGTTCTGACAAGTTGCCATGGCTTCCAGTTGGCCTGCAGGCCCAGCTTGTGGTCAGGAGATGAGCAGGTCAGGGTTTCCCTGGGAACAGCCTTTTTCCATTCCACGGGGCCAGGATCCAGGGCTCCAGCCAGTTCTGGCCTGAGACCCTGATCCGGAAAGCTGCTCCTACCGGTGGGATTGTCCGACCTGCAGGTGGGAGCGATGTTGGAGTTACCCACAGCTCAGCGCCTCAAGACCGGTGCTTAGCGCTTCCAACCACCAAAGTACGGCCATCCACACCACACAGGCACATGTCGGCTCCCATTGCAACCACCGTGATTTACGGCCCTGGAAAACAAAGGGCTCCATTCACAGGAGGCGGCCCTGCCTCTGTGAGGAAAAGAGCACAGCTCCTCACTTAAGGCTGCTTGTCTGCACATCTCTGCGGTTCCCAGTAAAAGCCTTGGGTGACCCACAAGATGGATGGAAGGATCCAGGATCCTTGGGACCTGCAGTGTTGCCCATAGGAGCACCAGAGAGGCAGGGGCCACAACCTAGAGGTGAGAAGGTTGAAGGATGCAGGATGGACCCAGCACGGTGGGTGACCCTGACACCCATGCCACAGACCCCAAGTCCATTTATCCTCTGCTGTGGGAAGAGCGAGGTCACCTCACAGGGGAGGGCTGATTTTCTCTCCTGACAAATGGCCCGGACTTGAGCCAACTCACTGGGGGTAAAGAGCAACTTGCCTGCGCTCCTGAAACCTCAGCTGGCTGAGGAACCCGTATCTGCAATGATGATCATGATGGTTATGGTAGGCCCTCTATCTACTCTTAATTGCTGCTCTTCAGAGGAAGTATTGGTCTATACTTTAACATATGTGTCCATCATTATCTGTGACAATAAGTGAAACTGTGTGATTGGTTACTGAGGAAGCAAACACCTGCCCCAAGTTTAGTGGTTCAAAACATTAAAGTCACCTCACTCATGAAGTTACAGGGATGCTTCAGTGGGACCCCCCTCCCCCAGCCTGGGATCCCTTCCAAAATGGCACACCATCCAAACAGTGCTGGGGTGTGTGGTCCTCTCCACAGGGCAGCCCAGCATCACCACTGCGTGGAGCTGGTCCTCAGGTGACTAGTCAAACGTGGTGTGGCTTTAGCCAGTTTTTGGGGAAGGCTTCTGGTGGGGAGAGCTGAGGCACTTCCTGGGAAGATGCACCAAGCTCCCTGGGCACTTTCAGTCCTTGGGAGAATAGAAGAGAGCTCTCCTCTAGCCTCCAACTGCAGGAAAAGGGAGTTCAGAGTTTAAGAAAGGCCAAGGGGATAGACTAAAGAGTGCTGAGGACCACGGACTGGGTGTCACTTGCATGTCAGCCCTTATACATGGGTCCTATCAAAGGTCTGCTTTTCAGAAAGGGTCTGATATTTTGAAATTTGAAGCTGAGGGTGGTGGGAGACAGAGGCAGGTAGATCTCTGAGTTTGAGGTTAGCCTGGTCTATATAGCAGTTCTAGGCCAGTCAGTGCTATGCAGAGAACCTGTCTCAAAACAAAACAAAACCAGAGCCAGGGGCAGTGACACGCCTTCAATTCCAGCATCCTGGAAGCAGAGGAAGATGGATCTCATGAGTTTGAGGCCTAAACTGAGGGAATGTACCCACCAGACTGGCCTGCGGGCAAGTTTCTGGTGCATTTTGATTGATGACTGATGGGGGGGTACTGTAGGCAGTGCCAGCCTAGATTGCTCGTTCTGGGTTCTACAAGCAGGCTTAGCAACCATGAGGGTAAGCCAGTGAGCAATCCTCCCCCATGGTTTCTGCACCAGCTCCTGAATTCCTTGGATGACAGACTATGACATGGAAGTGAGGTGAAACGCCCGAGCTGCTTTTGGCTATGGTGCCTTATTACAGCACAGAACCCGGAACTAAGATGACCCCTAGGCTCAGCTACCTCTTCTCTGGCATTCTATCCTTCAAGCCACCATCTCACTCCTCAAGATGATGACTATGACTGCTCTGGCCTCTCCTCTTGGGGCATCCTGGCTTCTGTATTAAGTGTGGCTTCACTATGCCTACAGGACAGGAGGGGATGCCACCAGCATCACCTGGAAATTTGGACCTCATAACCTCAAACCTCATCTCCAAGGCAGGGCCTAGAATCACCTAGAAACCAGCACTGAGAGGTCTGTCACTGCCTTTTGGCTCCTCTGCCAGCCTTCATCCCGTTCCCATGTGTGTGCATGTAGAGCAGTTCAGAGGTCAACCTCTGCTGTTCTCTGCGCTTGCTGCTCAGTTCCCTGAGGAGTTTCTGCTAGGATCTGGTTGGACATGCTGGAACTGAAGAATCTCTCTGGGATCTGCAACCACTTTCTGTAAAACTCATTTCACCTACAGGAGTCTGAGCTGCCCATCAGTCATGGCCCCAACTACTTCTGAGTTTCGCTGCTGTGGTTGTGTGCTCAGTACCCAGAGGTCTGACAAGGTCTCAGATCCCCACAGCTGAAGCTACAGGTGCTTGTGAGCTTTGTGACATGGCAGCTGAACTCAGGTCTTTTGGAAGGCTCTTAACAACTGAGCATCTCTCTAGTCCCTTCTGTTACATTTCCAAAAGCCTAATTATAACAGGTGCTGGGAAAGGCACTTTCCTGCATTAGCTAGTTTCTCGGCACTGTGAAGATGCCCAGAAGGGTTTGGTTCAGCTTCAGGTATCAGTCCGAGCCATGGCAGGAGGCTGAGACTCTGTTCTCATCAGAACAGCCAGGTGCAGGGCAAGCACACATAGGAAGAGGCCAGTGTGCTGGCTAGTTTTATGTCAACTTGACACAGGCTAGCGTTATCTGAGCGGGAACCTCAACTGGGAAAACGGCTCCAGAATAGTGGGCTGCAGGCAAGTTTGTAGAGCATTTTCTTAGGGATTCATGTGGTAGGGCCCAGACCATTGCAGGTGGGGTCATCCCTGGGCTGGAGGTCCTGGATGCTATAAAGAAAGTAGGCTGAGCAAGCTGTGAGGAGCAAGCAAGCAGCACCCCTCATGACCTCTGCACCAGCTCCTGCCTCCAGGTTCCTGGCCTACTTGAGTTCCTACCCTCACTACTTTTGATGATCAAAAGGTCAGCGCAGCTCAAGGCCTGCTTCCCACAGCCACTCTTCATAGCACCTGGGACAACTTGGAAGGGGTGGTTACTGAACTAGCACTGAGTGACTACGGCTAGGTCCCTGCAAGAAGTTGTGTGTCACAGAATTGTTTTTCTAGGCCTGCCCTTCTGGGGCAAAGGACAATGTTAATGGACACTGTGGAAGACCCACTGGTAAAAACGAGAAACTTCTCAAGCATGCACATTTGATAAATGCTTATTTTGACTTTTTGCCTAGGATCAATGGCACAAGTACTGCATCTTGGCAAGCATAGGCAGCTGCCACCCCCCTCTTATTCTCACTGATGGACAGTGAGGCCCTGAGCCTGTGGAGTTAAAGCTGTGCCGCCTGGGTAGACACTATCACACACGTGCACAAGTGGGGTTCCCATTCTCTGGGTGCAGAGCCCCTTACCCACTCCTGTTCTGCTGGACTGCGGCTCTGCTGCCTGCCCTGGATCCCTGCCCCAGCTTCTTCTCTGTGGGTCTGTGTTCACTTTCACGTCTATCCTAAATCGGGTCTCCATTCTCTACCTTTTGTCCCTAGACCTTCTGCACCCAGAGGGCATATCACACGGACCTCACAACCAGGACCTCACAACCAGAACTGGAATGGGTCAGTTCTCCGACTTATTGTCAGAGTTTGTGGTATCCCGAGAGTTGTGATGTGCTGCTCACCACACATCCCTACGCATTAGGAAAGTGTGGCCTCTTCCCAGGAGGAGCAGAGCCTAGGCCTCACACAGCAGCAGGCTCCCATCAATAGCAAACTACCACACGTCAGAGGCATTCCAACAAGAGACGGCATAGCTCTTCCATTGGGGGCTGCTCACCAGGTCACATATCCCTATGCTGCCCCAGTGCCACCCTCAAGGAGTTGGCACCTAGATGTAGGCCCTGAAGGCGGGAGGCAGCTTGCTGGGCAGCAGCTGAGTCAGCATAGTGTAGAATGGCCCTGTGCTGTGGTCCCTGCCAGGTAAGCCTCAGGGGCACTGCCCCTAGCTCCTGGAGGGCTCTCTTCAGTTCACGCACGCGAGCATTAGAGGGCAGGTTTCCCACGTACACAGTGGCAGCTGGTTGGGTGTCCACCCCGTGCAAGGGGCTATGAGACCCTCCTAGGGAAGCTGCTTGTGACTGCGGTATATCCCGGGGTCTCCTCATGGTGCTTGGAGCTGGGTGCTGGCTGCCAGGCTCAACTTGAAGAGCGACGTCTTTTCCGGCCCGCTTCTCTCGCTCACGGAGGATCCTGAGCACTGGGATTTTCGTAAGCATCTCACAACTGACCTGGAAAAGACAGTGACCTCAGTCGGAGTCTTGGGGTGACCAAGTCACACCAAGGCCACACCCACACACTCAGGAGGGACTCTGGTAACATACACACCATATGACTGAAAGGGTGCTGAAGGCCCCAGCTTTGGGGAGATAAGTAAGACTCCACTGCATGTTTAATTTTATTTATTTCTCTGATGCTGGGGGTGAAGCACAGGGCCTCAAATGGGCTAGACAAGTCTCCTACCACTGCTCTACAACCCAGCCATTTCTTTTTATTTGGAGAAAAGGCCTCATATTGCCCAAGTTTGCCTGGACATCAAACTTGCCATCCTCCTGCCTCAGCATCCAGAGTGCCCAGATGATAAGCCTGCAACATGAAGCCAGGCCTAGATTCCATTTCTTAATAGAAAGTCACCAGCCTGCAGCTCAGCTCCAACCCCACGGCAGCCTAAATGAAATCCTGACACTCTGACGTCCTTCAGACTGTCCCTTCATGTGCCACAGCAAGGGTGGAATGGGCCTCTATCTTTCCAGAGGAAGCAGCTGGGGTTCCTTTGTGGGCCATTCACCCAGAAGAGCGCCTGCAGTCAGTGGTGTTAATATGGCCACAGAGGGCAAGTCCTTGCCTACCTCCAGGAAAGTGCCTGTGGCCGGGACGGGGTCCTTTACAAGCCCAGGAGCATCTCTCGGATCACACCGAGGCCTGGCCCTGCACGCTGCCAGGCAGGTCTGACACTAAGCATGACTCGTGCAGCATTCCCTAGCAGTGGGCCACCAGGTTGTTAAATGACAGCTTGCTGAGCTCAGCATCATCCTGTGGGGCTTTCGCACAGGCCGCCTGTGGTCCTACCAAGTTGGTAAAGTTGCCTGCAAACATCCAACAACCTGCAGAGGCAGTGGAAGGCAGATCACCATGTGAGCAGTGTGCCTTGGAGGAGGAGCCAGGTGCCTGATCTGTGTGCACAAACACGGCTGGAAGCGTGTGGACCATCAGCAGCCAGTTTGCCAGTGGGATGCCTGGACTGAGCTGGCAGATCAGCCTGAACAGCAGAGCCTGCAGTGGGCCAGGAAGCAGACTTGTTCAGTCCTTTCTGACACTTTTCATCCATCAGAGGCAAGCTTTTCTTTAACTTTGGAGGCAGAAAACTGGCAAACAAGCAGTTACTGAGAGAACAGCCACAGCTCCAAGACAGGGTTTCCTGTGTGTATGTGTGTGTGTGTGTGGGGGGGGTGTTTTTTGTTTCTGTTTGTTTTTATAGTTGATGCTGCTGTTGGGGTTTTTTTTTTTTTTTGAGAGTCTCACTATAGCACTGGCTACCCTGGAACTCACTATGTAGTCCAGGCTGGCCTCGAACTCACAGAGATCCACCTGCTTCTTCTTCCCGAGTGCTGGGATTTAAGGCGTGCACCACTATGCCCAGCTCAAGGCAGGGTTTCTATAGGGCACACATCAGATCAGCACTCAGGCTCTGGGTTCCTTTCCTATGAAGTCCAGCAGCACAGGAGCTGAGCTGTGAGGATGGCATCTCCTGGTGTTCAGGCCACTATGGAGCCAGGCACCACTCCTCTTGGGAACAGCCTGTTTTGAGTAGGGAGTCATGCCACCCAGCATGGCTTGGCTCACTTCTCCACAAGTCCCAACCACATTGGCTCTGCCATTTCCCCACGGCTTACATTTGGGCTAGCAGAATGGGTTGATGTCGCTGTCCATGCTGAGGGGATTCTGTTTTTACTAGCTGGCAATTAGGAATGGTCATTACGTTTTATCAACGTGCCACATGAAATGAGAGCTCTACTTGTTCATCAAACAGAAAACAACATCTTCATGCTCCATCCTCCAAAAATTCCAATTCAGATTTGGTATTCATGTGTCAGTTACCTAGAAGTTTGCAATCTTTTGTGGAGGGTGGCAGTGTAGCTTGTAATCCTGGCTACTCGAGAGGCCTAGGCAGTGAACCCTGCCTCCAAAATAAAAATTAGCAAAGGACTGGGAGGCAGCTCATTAGCAGTGCTTGCCCGAGTCACAAGGCTGTAAGTCCAACCCCACAGAACTGCAAAACCAACAAACTATAAAAATGTTCAGGGTGTGTGCCACACCCTGAGGAATGATACCCAAGGCTCACCTCTGGCCTCCACACATGCACATATATGAACACAAATGCACGCACGCGTGTGCACACACACACACACACACACGCACACACGCACAAAAACACTAGCAAAGGCGCCAAAGTGAAGTGACCCTACCATGACTGCTTCCTAGGTAATTCTAGGCCTCAGCCTGAAGACATTACTTGGAGCTACACCACTCAAAGTTCCAGGTAGTGCTGATGTCCAGCCACACAGGACAGCAGACAATAGCCAGGTCATACAAGGAACTCTGATGGCCACTACAGTAGGCCATGTCAGCCACAGTAATAACTCACCTTGGACCAGATGATCCCTGTTGGCTTTGGACGTGCACAGTCTGTAGCAATGACCCTGGTCGGAGTGATGATGTAGTCAACAGTGAGATCGTGGTCCTCTAGAAGAGCCTCAGGAATGTCAACGACCTGAACAAGGTAAGGCGCTGACTAGTCAGGTGACAGCAGGGCCCGGAAGGAACTGAGCAACTGGAGGGATGATCTCCAGTGCGTGAGACCCAGGGTCTGATCCATCAACACTGCTCATCGCATGACCCAAGAACAGGTGCTGTGGAATACTGCTTTAACTACGGAAATATGTGTTACATTTGTTTATGTTGTGGAATATTACTTTAACTGGGCAAAGATGTGTTACATTTGTTTAAGCTACATTTGTTTAATTATGTAAAGATGTGTTACATTTGTTTAAGCTACATTTGTTTAATTATGTAAAGATGTGTTACATTTATTTATGCTACATTTATTTAATCATGCAAAGATGTGTTACTGCTTTACCTTGTCTGCCTAAGGCACCTGATTAGTCTAATAAAAAGCTGAACGGCCAACAGTCAGGCAGTACAGGAATAGGCAGTGCTGGTGGGTGGAGAGAATAAGTAGGAGGAGGGATCTAGGCTCAAGAGGACAGAGGACAAAGAGAATAAGGGAGAAAAAGAGAGAGACGCTGGGGCCAACCAACCAGGTAGCCACTAGGCAGACATGGAAGAAGCAGGAAAAATAGGACATAAAGAATGAAAGAAAGATAAAAAGTCCTGAGGCAAAACATAGATGAAGAGAAACATGTTAAATTAAATTATAAAAGCTAGTGGGACAAGCATAAGATAAGGCTGAGCATTCATAACTAATAAGTCTCCATGTGCCTGCTATGAATAGGTGTCTCTCTCACCTCTCCCTCTCCCAGAGCTGCTGAGGGGTACCAATGATAGATCTGCAGGACGTACCTGGCAGTCATGGACAATGGTAACAACCGGAGTCCCCTTGTGGACAGCTCCCATCGACACCATCATGGCATACTCAAGATCGGCATAGCCTTCTCCCTTCCCAATTCTCCAGCCTAAGAGACAAGGCAGGGGCACAGCAGAAGTGGGTTCCTATCAGGCCTCAGTGGAAAGGATGGGGTCTCAGTGTTCCTGTTGTCCCCAGCAATCCACGAGTGGCTCCGAACACTGAACGTGCACAGTGAGTGCATGGGGTGACCAAGTTTGCACCTGTGAGCTGGCCATGTCAGCAAGACACAGTGAAAAGCAGAGACAGTGGCCAGGTGCGGTGGCGCAGCTGCATCAGCACGCAGAGGCTGAGGTGGGAGGGTGGAGAGCTAACGTCAAGTTCTGAAATCAAAACCCGAAAGCCACGAAAGGTCGGCAGGTGAGGACAGAGAACAACAGAGTTCTGCTTTGAAGGGCAGGTGTCTGATCTCCTGCCTTAGGAAGAGAAGCCAGAAGCAAAGGGGAGGTCAGGCTCAGCGGGCCTGAGAGAGGAAGACTAATCTGAGGTCAGCGTGGGATACACAACACTGACTTTAAAGGCACGGCAGAAATTACGGCTCATTATCGGCCTGCTCAAAGTTCAAGCTGGATAGTCCCAACATGGCAGAGGACAGGAAGAGGGGTGCTGGGGCTCCTGTGAGCCCCTGTGACTGTGTCACCTGTCAACTTGACAGAAGCTAGGGTCACCAGGGAGACAGGCCTCCGTGAAGGCCTGTGCAGACTATCCAGACTGCATTAGTTGAGGCGCAGGCCTCGTGCACTCTTCTGTGGTACCCGGGAGACTCTGGTCTGACTAAAACAGAACAAAGCCGATACAAGTGGCCAGTGAGTGGCTGGGGTCAGGCATGCAGGGCAGAACGACTGGCAGGGGAGAGTGGACAGGGCAGCCTTCACAACACCTGTACAGCCTGTCTCTAGCTTACCTTTCTCAGACACAGCAACAGATCCCACCACAACTAAATCCACGAGGACACTAGAGTCCAAGCCCACAGGGACGCTGAAGTTCCGCACGCCCTATAAAGGGAAACGGGGGCTGAGTTGTGGTCTTAGTGCATCAGAGTGGACGTGACTCCCACGCTACCCTAGAGGAGGCAGTATCCCGGGTCAGCCAGTCCAGAAACAATTTGAGAGAGTGTCTTCTACAGTTCTTACCCCAGGAAGAGGGACAGAGGGAACGAACCACACAAAGTCACAGAACACTAATGCCAAAAGAACACCATAGGTAATCAGGTGGGAGCCACACACAACCGGGCCAGGCCCTGTTGAGTCTCAGAAGCTTCAGGTTCCTCATGGCACAGGACACCAAGACGAACATTAGAAATGGGGGCACAGGACATGGTCAGTACCCGCATGGCCATCGCTTCAGGCAGGGCACTCTCGCTTCTGGAAATGTCCCCCCCAGTGGACCCACCCATCCTGACGATCAGAGGCCTGGATAGAAGGTATGAGGGGACTGCCCCTGCAGAGCAGGTCAGAGACCTGGCAAGTCTCTTCTGGGATCAGTGTACGGCCTGGGTCTCCCTGGAGCATGCCACAGTGCATGCCCGAAGCACCCACTGTGCTGGAGCCTTATGCTGTCCCTCTTGGTGGCCATGAAAATAGGCTCCTCACTGCCTGAGTTGGGGCCCAGGACTGACCACTGCCCTGTCGCTGAGAATCCTGAGCTGCGGGCTTAGGATTGGCCAGAACTACGATTTTATTTATTTTTTTTAATATTTATTTATTTATTATGTATACAATATTCTGTCTGTATGCCTGAAGGCCAGAAGAGGGCGCCAGACCTCTTTACAGATGGTTGTGAGCCACCATGTGGTTGCTGGGAATTGAACTCAGGACCTTTGGAAGAGCAGGCAATACTCTTAACCACAGAGCCATCTATCCAGCCCCAGAACTACGATTTTATCTTACTTTTCATCCTTTTTATTCTTTTCCATTTTCTTCAGTGCTGGGTAGAATCTGGGGTTTTGTACACGCTGGGGAGAGCTCTAATGAGCTACGTTCCACCCCCACCACAATTCCTTCTAATATTTCTTCTGAAATGCAGTCTTGCTATAATGCAAGGCAGGTTCAGATCAGCAATCTCCTCTCCCCACCTTCCCCAGCAGCTGGTTTCAGATGTGTCCTCCCAACTTGCTCCTCTACACACACGTATTTTATCTTTATAGCATACTGAACATGTTTTTGTAAGCTGTAGCCAATTTTTTCAATAAGTTATCAGAAAATAAAAAGTCATTCAACATTAACATATTAGACTCAAGGTAAAATGCCTTTAAAAGGGATAAGTAAAATCACATGGTGTTTATGGTTCTTTTTTTAAAAAAAATTATTTATTTATTATGTACAGTGTTCTGCCTACCTACACCCCAGAAGAGGGCACCAGATCTCATTATAGATGGTTGTGAGCCACCATGTGGTTGCTGGGAATTGAACTCAGGACCTCTGGAAGAACAGTCAGTGTTTTAACTGCTGAGCCATCTCTCCAGCCCCGCGTTTATGGTTCTTTAAAAAGCTATCTTTTTTTTTTACCTTTTTCCCCATCTCCCCTTACCCCCATCCCACCCCACCCCCAAGATCCTAATTTTCTCCCCGGCAATTGGGTCTACTTCCCTTAGCCAAGAGGATAACTATATGTTTTTCCTTGGGTTCACCTTCTTACTTAGCTTCTTTAGGTTCACCTATTGTAGACTCCGTGGCCCTAATTTATGGCTAGAAACCAATTATGAGCGAGTACATCCCATGTTCATCTTTTTGGGTCTGGGACACCTCACTCAGGATAGTGTTTTCTATTTCCATCCATTTGCCTGCAAAATTCGAGAAGTCATTGTTTTTTACCGCAGCGTAGTACTCTAGCGTGTATATATTCCATACTTTCTTCATCCATTCTTCCATTGAAAGGCATCTAGGTTGTTTCCAGGTTCTGGCTATTACAAATAATACTGCTATGAACATAGTTGAACAAATGCTTTTGTCATATGATAGAGCATCTCTTGGGTATATTCCCAGGAGTAGTATTGCTGGGTCCAGGGGTAAGTTGATCCCGAATTTCCTGAGAAACCGAAACACTGACTTCCACAGTGGTTGCACAAGATGGCATTCCCACCAGCAATGGATGAGGGTACCCGTTCCTCCACAGCCTCTCCAGCAAAGGTTATCCTTGGTGTTTTTGACTTTAGCCATTCTGACAGGTGTAAGATGATATCTCAAAGTTGTTTTGATTTGCATTTCCCTGATTGCTAAGGAAGTTGAGCACGACTTTAAGTGTCTTTTGGCCATTTGAACTTCCTCTGCTGAGAATTCTCTGTTCAGTTCAGTGCCCCATTTTTTAATTGGGTTAATTAGCATTTTAAAGTCTAGTTTCTTGAGTTCTTTATATATTTTGGAGGGGGGACTTGGGGAATCAGGAGAATTGGGATAAAGGAAAGGTGGATAGGGGAGCACGGAACCACAATTCTTAGTTAAGGGAACCACTTTAGGGTGAGCAAGAGATTTGACCCTAGAGGGGCTCCCAAGTGCCCAACATGAGGTTCCCAGTTAGTTCCTTGGGTAGCTGAGGATTGGGAACCTGAAATGACCCTATCCGAGAGCAATACTGACGAATATCTTGCATATCATCATAGAACCTTCATCTGGTGATGGATGGAGACAGAGACAGAGACCCACACTGGAGCACTGGACTGAGCTCCCAAGGTCCCAATGAGGAGCAGAAGGAGGGAGAACATGAGCAAAGAAGTCGGGACCACGAGGCGTGCACCCACCCACTGAGACAGTGGAGCTGATCTACTGGGAGCTCACCAAGGCCAGCTGGACTGTGACCGAAAAAGCATGGGATAAAACCAGACTCTCTGAACATGGCGAACAATGAGGGCTGATGAGACGCCAAGGACAATGGCACGGGGTTTTGATCCTACTTAATGTGCTGGCTTTGTGGAAGCCTAGCCAGTTTGGATGTTCACCTTCCTAGATATGGACGGAGGGGGGAGGACCTAGGACTTACCACAGGGCAGGGAACCTGGACTGCTCTGTGGACTGGAGAGGGAGGGGGAGAGGAGTGGGGGGAGGGGTAGAAGGGTGGGAGGAGGGGGAGAAGGGTGGGAGGAGGGGGAGGGAAATGGGAGGCTGGGAGGAGGTGGAAACTTGTTTTTTGTTTATGTTTTTTTTCTTCTTTTCTTAATAAAAAAAATTATTAAAAAAAAAATAAAAAAAAATAAATAATTTTATAAATATAAAAAAAAAAGCTATCAAATGTGATTTAACGTAAGACGCAAATCCTGGCTCTCTAACACATCAATGAATTTACAGATTCTAGTCTAGCTGCGAAGTGTCTGATGACATGCAACCACGCTCCTGTCGGGAGTTTACAGCCTGCTCAGCAAAGAGGGTGCATCCTGCCCTCCACTGCTTCATCTAAACAGGCGGGAGCAAGCACAGGCACAGACCAAATCTACCACAAGAGGGCACCAGAGTGCCCTGTGCTGCGTCTCCCCTGCTCTTGAACAAGCATTTCTAATCAACCAAACTATCTATCTGTTCAGGTATCGATGGCACAGGCAGAACTGGTGAATACTTTAACAGCGCTCTCGTGGCTCTGTGTAAATTCCATGGATTCTATTCCACAGTGCGATGACTCAGGAGGACAGTCCCCCAGGGTGGACGCTTGTAGCACTCACCTGGGAGGTGGCACATTTCCTCAGTATGTCTTTAGTGGCTCCAGGAGGTGGTGTGATCTTATTAAACAGTCCTGTCCTCAGCCGTGGAGTTGGGACCAGCAGTGTCTTTTTGCTCTTTGCGGGAAAAGACAATCAATTACACAGAGAGTGCATGTTTTCCCCCATGAACAAAGGGAATCTCTACAAAGGGACACCTGAGCATAGCTGGGCCGCTTCCCCTCTCATGCCTGTTTCCCGAAGGCCAGAGTGACCACCCCTAGTGTCCTCCCCCACATCAGCAACAGCTCCCTCCCGCTGCTCCCTGCTGTGCTCCCTGCAGTGTGGGGTGTCAGTCTAGTTCAAATACCATCTCACTGCCTGGGAGGGGAGGTCAACACTCCTGCGCTTCCACGAAGCCTCCTTGAGTCTCATGGGCCCAGAGTAGGAGCTGCATGTCACTGCTCTCCTCAGCACAGAGGCCTTAGGCCTCCCTTACCGCACAATGTCCTGCGCAGCTGAGGCTTCTGCCATGAAACGGGACAGCAATGGGGGACCAGCAAGTCACTCCATGGTCTTTGGCCATCCCAGGTTGATTTCCAAAGCTCTGTGCCTGACATTCAGTGCCAAAGCAGCAGCAGCCTTGGTTTGGCAGAGCTAGGTCGGTCATCACATTGCCTGTACCACTCAGTGCATGCTGTGGCTCGGCCTGTTCACTTTGTCCGCACAGGTTATTATAACTGCTTAGAGCTATGTCCATTAAAATGCACACCAAGCTCTGGCCTCATACTACATGAGATGATAAAGTAGTTTGAATGAATGATGAGGGTGCTCTCTTTTCTTTGAGAAGTGGTCTACACATTTGTTTGTTTATGTCTTTTGAGACAGGATTTCTCTGTGTTGCTCTGGCTGGCCTGGAACTCACTCTGCTCTGTAGACCGGCTGGCCTTGGACTCACAGAGATCTGCCTGCCCCGGCCTCCCTTGTGCTGGGATTAAAGGTGTGCGCCACCATCACCTAACACAGACTCAGATTTCTAACTGAGGAGTTTTTGTTTCAAAGAATTTGAACATTAAAAACAAAGTGACAGACGGCTGCCGTGAGCTGCAGGTCACCTAGAGATGCGGCATGCGCTCAGCAGTCACCTGGAGGGGGAGCGCTCCTGACGGAGGGCACCTTGGGAACATGGAGTTACCTGCAGTGCCAGCAACCGGACACCTTCCAGGGGCTTATCAGGGTCCACTTTCACTTCCTGTGTCCCAGCAAAGACGTCCAGGTCTTTGATGCTTTGGCAAGCCAGGTAAGACCCCTAGGTAGGCAAAAACAGTGCTGCACTCACCTCCAGCACGAGGAAGCGGGCGTTTCTCTGAGGAGCATCGGGGTTGACTTTAATGGTTCTCGCCACCCTGAAAGCATGCAGGTGTGGGAAATGCTCCGTAGCACGAGAGGCACCCTGTGTAAACGTGGCTGCATGTCACCTTGGGGACGTGGGCCAAGTACGGCCTAGGCATCACAACCCTGCATCCACCCAGATACAGGAGCCCACATTCCCCCAAGGAGACACTTCAGAAAGAACACAGGACAGAAAGGAACTAAGCCAGAATTCAAGTTTTTTTGGTTTGTTTTTTGGTTTTTAAAGAGATTTACTTTATGCTCTACTGACTTTATGCCAGAAGAGGGCACCAGATCTCATTACAGAGGGCTGTGATTCACCATGCGGTTGCTGGGAATTGAACTCAGGACCTCTGGAAGATCAGCCAGTACTCTTAACCACTGAGCCTCTCTCCAACCCCAGAACTCAGTTTTTAAGGAAAGAAAACTCTAAAAAGAGTACAGAAGCTGAAGGGTTTCCACAGAAGAGCGGAGCTCACGTAAGCAGCATCATTTAAGGAGCAGGATGCCTGGAGAGGCCTCTCCTTCGCCTGCTCCCTTCACACCAGACCCCATGAGCTCATCCTGTACCCTCTTCCTGTGCCCTCCTGCCTCTGCCTTTCCACTGCTGGGATGGCCAGCTTGAACCAGCTCCTGGCTCACACTGCCTCTTTCAGGCAAACTATTTTCCATGCAAACTATCGGCAATAGTCACCTTGGGTTAGGAAACAGGGCCAGGGCTTCTCTGGGCACAAGCTGGGCTTCCCTCTGGGGGTTCCATAAGCTCTTCCATAAGTGGCTGAGGGAGGCCAGCTCTGTGAAAAGCCCTGGTAGCAGCTACAGTGCAACCCTCCACCCCCACAGAAGCTGGGCCCCACTGGGTAACAGAAAGGAATGTGTCCAAACACAAAGAGCCCTCCAGGCCCTCTTGGATTCTGCCTCTGCTCACTGAGCCTCGAGGACCAATCCTACCAGAAAGCAGAGGAGCTGTGTTGCTGATGTGATTCTCCCAGGGATAACTTCATCCCCTTCTAACAAGCCCAGGAACACCTCCGTACCTTAAAGTTCGGAATCCTGTGATGCACAGGTCGGGGGAAGTCAGCTAAATCACGTGATTCCATATGGTCCCAAATGCGTTCACGGATGCCTTGCTTGGAGACACCTACAACGACAAAGGACTGTGACTTACTGATAAAAACCATTCCCACAGTGCATGTGGCCACTGTGCTCTTGTGACAATATCTGCACAGGAGTTTGGGTCCACGCCAGACCAGCTTAAGGTGCCAAGTCTTTCTTCGGGGCAATGGAAATATTAGTTTCCCCTCAAGCTCCCTCACCAGTTGGGAGAAGAGCTCCAAACTTGTGCTAGGAACCAGGAGCATACCGTGAAACCTAGCTGTGAAGTCATTTGCATTTTCTCTGCGGTGCCAGGGACGCCAGCATACTTAGCCATCCTCTACTGATAAGCTACACACCGCCTTTTTTGAGGCAAGGTGACATTGTGTTGCACAGATGGGCCTTGAACCTTAAGCGCTCTTGCTTCAGCCTCCCAAGCAGCAAGAGTTGCGAGTGTGGGCCACCAGGTTTGGCTAGAATGCAGTCTTGATTATTTAGGGGTACAGAGGGTCAAACTCAGGGTTCTGAGTGTGTTAAGGAAGCACTCCATCACCGAGTCACACCCCCAACCTGCCTGGTGTGTAGTATTTTTGTCTTTCTTTTTAAAAAGATTTATTACATACGTGTGTCCGCATTTGTTTACGTGTTTATGTGCACCACCAGCAACTGCGGGGGTGGGGTGGGGGAGCACTCAGGAGGCCAGGGATCAGAGGGCATTGGTCCTTTCTCTTGGAACTGCGAGTTGTGAGCTATCTCATATGCTTGCTGGGACTGATCTCCCGTTCTCTGTAAGAGCAACAGGCGCCCTTGACCACAGAGATCTCTCCAGCCCCAGCTTTGGTCCTTTGTAAATTTCGTGGCATTACAGCGTTTGCGAGGGCAGATCCCACCGACGGGCAAGTGGAAGCTTTCCAAACTTTCGCTGCTGGATGCGTACGTTTCCTCGTTTACAATGCTTTGTAGCGCGGGCTGTGAAGGCGCTGCGCGGTGTTCGAGGCTGAACGATCCCTTCCACTCCCCCTACCCACCCACCCCGGCTCAGGCTATTTTAAATGCGTCGAGCCCGGCTGCGTGAGGGCCGGACTGACTCTTCCCTCGCGCTGTCAGCCTGGGCATCATAGCCGTAACAAGCCGGGTCGCATCCTCCACACGCCACGTTCGGACCATCAGGACTTTTGGGCAGGCCAAGCCTTGGTTTCCCCCACTGCCCACCGTTCTCCTCACCCGCCAGGGCCTCCATGGCCAACCCACGTCAGAGCGCGACGCCTTTCACGGTGACGTCAAACGCCTGCGCGTCACACTGCGCCTGCGCACTGAGGCTAGACGGACTCAGGGCACACGCCTGCGCAGGCCACGCAGCGGGTGGGGTTCCTGCTTTGGGTCCCAGTTTTTCTCCATCTTTTCGGCTTGCTGAACGCTGCAGATGCACCCAACACCTTTATTTGTTTATTTTACTATTTATTTGTATAAATGCTATGTCTTCATGCAGGCTAGAAAAAGGAATCTGATTCCGTTACAGATGGTTGTGAGCCACCATGTGGGTGCTTGGAATTGAACTTAGGGCCTTTGGAAGAGCAGTCATGTGCTCTTAACCGCTGAGCCATCTCTCCAGCCCGCCTCAGTGATTTTTGAGGCCCCCGCTGGAGCCGCCTTAGAACGAAGGTGCCTGGGACACATACACACACACACACACACAACATGTATGCTTTTGTATTACGTGGAACATATATAACGCATATAGGGCTGACAAAATGACCTAGCTGGGAAAGGTGTTTGCTGCCAAGCCTAACAACTTACATTTCATTCCCAGGACCCACTGTAAGAGATGGATTTGGGTTCAGGATCCCCAAGACCAAGTTCTCAGCACAAAGGAGGTTTATTTGCCACAGGAGGAAAGAATGCTGAGGGGTGGGGGGCGCAGGGATTAAGAGGCAAAGACTGGAGATAAAGGGAGAAGGGGAAGGAAACAAGGGAGGGGGTAGGGATATTTGTGGAGGGGCAGGAGAAAAAAGGATTGCCACTGGATAGAAAGGAGACAGCTGGGGCACATAGGAAAATGGTGATTTGTAAAGTACAAGGAGGACTCCATGTTAGGATGAGGTGTTTAATTTTAATTGGGCATGTTAATTAGGTGAACTGAAGGCTAGACCTCTGTGGTCAGCCTTAGGAGGAGGAAGTATCCAAGTGAGGAAATAGACCTTGGTGGCTAGCTTTAGGAATGTATGCTCACACGTTTTTTTAGCAAGGCAGAGGGAACTGGGAAGACGGGCAAGCCTGCCAGAGCTGTGTTTGCCTCGCTCGAGCTAGCTAGAGTCCCTTCACACACATAGTTGAAGGAGAAAACCGACTCCCTAGAGTAGTCCTCTGACCTCCACAGACTGTGCTGTATCATGAGTCCATACACATATATCATTAGCGCATATACTAAATACGTGTATATGCAAGTATGTAGTATGTTTAGACCATCTTGTGTGTACATCTGTAGAGACATCGCTTGAAAGTCGAAGGAAACCTATGTACAGGAGTGGATCTGAGACTGAGGACACCCGTTGGGATTTCCAGCTCCCTGTGTCTCAGGACAAAGAACTGTCCTAGGGACATGTGGTTGGGCATAGAAATAAAGGCTGTTTATTAAAGAAAGGAAAGAAAACTCCTGAAATGGAGAGGGTGGTAAGGTGGAGACAGCCAGAAGCTCAAAAGTGTTGGGCCTGAAGGCTCCTGACTCTTCATGAGTCACTTACATAGACTCACTCCCGACTTTGTCCAGGAATCTTTTTTTGAGTGTGTGTGGGGGGGTTCTCTGTGTAACAGCCCTGGCTGTCTGGGAACTCCCTCTGTATACCAGGTTGGCCTGGAACTCACAGAGTGATGGGATTAGAGGCAAATCAGGTGGCCTCTTTCATAGGGTGTGTCTGTGTGTCCTTGGGCACACCTGTGTTTGTGGAAGTCAGGGGCAGCCTCAGGCTCTTTTCTGTTTTTTTTGTTTGTTTGTTTGTTTGTTTTTGAGATAGGATTTCTAGGCATAACAATCCTGACCTGGAGCTCACTCCAGGCTGCCTTCAAACTCACTGAGATCTGCCTGCCTCTGCCTCCCTGAGTGCTGGGATTAAAGGCGTGTGTCACTACTACCTGGCACTTTTTCTTCTTTAGTTACTATAGCTATACCTGCTGGCTTCTTGCTGCGTTTTTAAAGGTGGCAAAAAAAAAATCCCCCAAATTGGCTGGTTCCCAATGCAGGGAGGAGTGGAGGGGGCCTTAGAAGGTGACCAAAGCTGCTCTGGGTTTGCCTGTCCTCATGTACCCTGTGTTTGGAGCATCTGAGTGGCTAGGGATGTCAGGTCAGGTTTGTGGTAGCTGCCCAGCTTCCACCCCAGCCTCTGATGGAGGGTTCTGTTGTGGTTTTTTGTTCGTTTGTAGCTGAACTTCATTTGCACCTTGAAGAAATTAGGCCCCTGTGAACCCTCTTTGTGACATGTGACCTCAAGGCCGCCATCTCCACTGATTCCCCAGCTAGTGAGAGTTTGTTAGCACTCTGCCCTCGCTGCCTACGGAACCAGAACACAGAACAGTGCACTGGTTTTTGTTTGTGTGTTTGTTTTTAATTTTGGAGACAGGTACGTACTGTGCAGCCCAGGAAGCTAGCCTTTTTTTAAAAATATTTATTTATCATTACACAGTGTTCGGTCTGCATGCCAGAAGAGGGAACCAGATCAAATTACAGATGGTTGTGAGCCACCATATAGTTGCTGGGAATTGAACTGAGGACCTCTGGAAGAGTAGCCAGTGCCCTTAACCTCTGAGCCATCTCTCCAGCCCTGGAAGCTGGCCTTGAAATCACAGATCCACTCGTCTCTGCCTCCCGAGTGTGAGTGCCAGGATCAAAGGTGTGCACGGCTTCACCTGGCAGGATTCAATTTTTACTGGTTATTGTTTCTGAAGTTTTAGGTTCACAGAAGAAGTCACAGAGAGTCCCATACTCTCCTTCTCTCCTGGTAGCAGAGCCTTTCCCAAGGTCACAACTCTGCCCGAGTGGGAAAGCTGTCATGAGATTAGCACAGTCAACTCGCGGTCAGTTGTCACCCTGGTACACAGCATTCCTGGTGGGGTAATACAGTTTCCTGTGAAAGATGGGAGTGGGGGAGGGGACAGTATTTCAGGGATGGGAAATGGGAACAAATTTGGCTTCAGCAGAGAAGTGTTGTTGCTGAGAGCTGAGGGTGTGTCTGGACATTGGGATGAATCAGGGTCACCTTTGCTCATGGAAGATCACCAATAGGGAAGCTGCTAAGTCACAGCTAGAAGGTGTACAGCAGTGTTCAGGCAGGTGGGGGGGCAAGGAAGCAGAAAGTCAGGAGAAAGGAGGAGGAGAGTGGTGGAGTTAGGGGGCTATAGACTAAGGGGTGTCACTATGCAGCTTGGCTGATGGTAGCGAGAACGTTCAGGAATCTCTGAGGTGTCTCCGGATTCCTAGTCTTGCCAAAATGTACAGTCTCCCATGATGGCTGCTGAAGAGTCCAGAAGAAGAAAACCATGAAGAGCAGAACAGGGGGATGGAGAGCCCAAGAAAACATCCTAGTGTCTCAGGAGCTTGGCTTGCTGTTAGAATTCCCCAAGACTTAGTGCTTTCTCTCCTCCTCCTCCTTCCTCCTCTTCTTCCTTTTCTTCCTTTATTGAGACAAGACCTCTCTACATAGTCCTTGCTGTTCTGGAACTCACTAAGTAGACTAGGCTGGACTTAAACTCAGATCCATTGTACCAGGTTTTCTTTTGGGCCACCAATAAGCTCCCAAATCCTGATATGGAGACATATTAGTTATGAATGCCTGACTTTAGCTTAGACTTACTTCTTGCTGACTCTTATAACTTAACCTGTTTCTCTTCATCTACGTCTTGCCTTGGAGACTTTTACCTTCCTTTACTTCTGTATCTTACTTTCACTGTTTCTCCAGTCTGGCTAATAATGGCTGTCTGGCTACCCCCAGGAGTCTCCCTCTCCTCTCTGGAACCTAGATTCCTATCTATTCCTTCTGCCTGCCAGCCCGGCCTATTCCTCTCCTACCTAGCTGTTGGCTGGTCAGCTTTTTATTAGGCCATTAGGTGCCTTAGGCAGGGAAGGTGAAACAAATGCAACACATCTTTACATAATTAAACAAATGCAGCAGGAACAAATGTAACACACCTTACATTGTTAATGGAATGCAGCAAAAAAAGAAAAGTAACAAACCTTTATACAGTTAAGGTAATATTCCACAGCATAAACAAATGTAACACATCTTTTAAGTATTCCATAACAATTCATCTGATTCTGCCTCCCAAGTGCTGGAATTAAAGGTGTGTGCCATCATGCCTGGCTGCTGTTTCCTTTTCTGCCCCTCCTCCTCTCGGTCTTCCTCTTTTTCCTCCTTCTCCCTCTTTTTCTCCTTTCCGTCTGCCTCTTCCTGCTCCTTTAGATGTTTTAAGACAGGGTCTTACTCTCTGTTGTGGCTTTGAATTCACAATGTTCCTGCCTCAGCCTCCCATGCTCCCAAGTGCTAGGATTGTTACAGGCCTGTGTTACCACACCTCAGCTGGTGTTTTCTTTTCCCGTGTGTGTGTGTGTGTGTGTGTGTGTGTGTGTGTGTGTGTGTGTGTGTTGGGATGGTGTTTACTATGTAAGCACACATGAGGACGCTGTTGTCACCCTCATAAGTCATCCACCTTGTTTTTTGATCATCCAGAGGAATCTGCCTGTATTTCAAAATCTGCTGGATTTCCAAGGGCCCACTACCACACCCAGATATTTATTTTTATTCTTTAACATGGGTGCTGCTTACAAGGCTAACACTTTACTGACTGAGCCATTTCTTACTCCAAATGCCTTCTAACTTGGACATGTGGCATGAAGGAGGAAATGGTGGTGTCCTGTTTAGTGACCTCTGGTTTCTAGGATTGTCATTACTATGGGAGACAACACAGTCAGACTGAGCTCTGAGAAAGGACTGGGACCTGGACTGGAGACCAGCACCTCTCTGTGCAGACACTTGGTTACCGGCCTTCCAGGACCTGGCTCACTCTCCTGAAGCCCTCTTAGATAAAACATATTTTCCTGGAAGTGGGGGAGGATGCCTCTCCAGTAGATTTTAACAGTCATTCATTTATTTATTTTGGATTGGGAGGCAGGACCTCAGAGCCCAGGACCTACTTGGTGGAAGCACAGAATGGACTTCTGATGCCTGAAAGTTGCTCTTTGACCTCCACAGTCACCTTGGCCCACATTCCCTTGCCCCACATAAATAAATGCAAAACATTTTTAA